TATCTCCTTTATATATATATATATATATATATATATATATATATATATGCGTGCGTATTAAGTTTTAATTAATTTTATAAAATAATAATTTGATTTAATATAAATATTGTTATTATTTATATTTTATAATTTTTAATCTTTTAAAGTTGAAGACATCATTAATTAGTCACTAGTTGAGTATCACATTATAATTATATATATTATTTATGTGATATTTATTTATTCAATATGAAACTTTAATTTTGATAAACAATTAGAGATTAAAAAATATATTTTTTATATGACATTTTTTTTTATTCATGTGAGACTTTAATTTTGAAAATAATAATATTAAAAAATAATGTTATAAAAAAATATTAACTAAATCTATAATAATATTTTAACAATTTTTAAGGTTAAATGTAATAGTCATCGTTGGTGAGTCTTAATTTAATTGGGTTGATCAAGCTCGTGGGTTTTTTTCTTCTTTTCCTTCGATCTGCATGTTTCTGATTCATGAAAGCTCATGATATATACACCTCTTTTATTTTTTTTAAAAAAGAAATTCTTAAAATATTCATAGTTTTTTAATTTTTTAATTTTACACCTCTAACTTTTAATTTTTTTTTTTTTTTCACACTCCTCCTTCCTTCTCTCTTTTAATTTTCACATGCACCATTTTGTCATCTTTCAATTCCTCACTTATTTTATTGAGTAGTTTTAATTCTCTCGATTTTTATATTATTTTCTTATTTTCTCATCTCGTTCACTTTTTTACATGCACTCAGCTTGAAGAACTGGTACTCAATAACATTGTAGGTACATGCAGCTTCCTTGACAAATTTTACCGAATTAGACACATTTTTTTCTTCTAACATTTCATTTCCTTTCACCCCTCCAAAAACCTTAACATTAAGTTTAGTATTATGAAAAAGACATTTTCACTATTCTGAAGTACTATGTGAGATAGTGAAATTAATGTTTTGAAAAGAACATTTTGAAGAAGTGTTTTTCACATAATTATGAAAAGTGCCTTTCGAAATAGTAAATTTGGTGTTTTGAAAACTACTTTTCAGAAGTGTGTTATTTTACATACTTCCAAAAAATATTTTCCGAAATACTAAAGTTAATGTTCCAGAAAACATTTTTCATAATAGTAAAGTTAATGTTCTGGAAAGTACTTTCTAGAAGTATGTTATTTTACATAATTTGAAAAATACTTTTTGAAACACTAAATTTACTATTCCATAAAGTACTTTTCAAAAGTGTGTTATTTTATATAATTTCGAGGTACTTTCTAAAATAGTAAATTCAATGTTACAGAAAATACCTTCTGGAAGTATGTTAAAAACTCAATTTTGAAACTTTCTTTTGGTAAAATTATTATTCCAAAAAGTACTTTCTAAAACATTAAAATTATTTGATGTTGTGTTTTAGACATGTAAATAAGAGAAAAACTGGAAGAAAAAAATGTATATTTGACTCGATATTTTTGACAATGTCGAGAAAGTTACACTTGCCTATAATGTTGTTGAAAACTAGTTCTACATTTTAGGTGTATGTGAAAACTAAAAGGGAGGAAGTAGAAGATAATAGTGAAAAAATTGAAAGAGAAAGAAGAAGAGAGTAATGTAAAACTAAAAAAATTTAAAACTACCTATCAAAATAGGTGAGGGTGGAAGAAAGGTAAGGAGATGCGTGTGAAAACAAGGGAAAGTGTGTGGAAAAAAAAGTGTGAAATTAAATGTTGAGGTGAAAAATTAAAAAATTAAGAATATTTAAAAAAAAAATTTAAAAGAAGGAGGTGTAGCTATAAAAAAAAAGATGCATATATCATCGATCTGTATTATCTTTTCATTTAAGCTTCGTTTTATTCACTACATATTTAACGTCAACACTAGCAAAGACATAATTTGTTGTACTGGCGTCACTGATATTTTGGGCAATTCAAATTTTTAATCACTTCGATCGAGTGACTGCACTTTCATTTCATAAGAAAATTTCTTTCTTTTCTCGGCTGAACATTGTCTAAATACTGTGTGATACAAACTTGTAAATTCGTATGCTAGAATGTTTTAGAAAAGAATTGTTAAAGCCTGCAAACTATATCACACTCCTTGCTATCAAAGGAGTAAATTCTCACATATGTTCAGTAACAAAGTTAAATTGTTGTGTTTCTAGCTATACATAGCTTATGCTTTAAAACACACCCTTTACCATTGATTGCAAGTGGCTTCCGATGAAAATTAAGTCCATTACTATTAGAGCTGGGAAGTCATTAACTCCTATCCTTTAGTTTGTCAAGAATTAATGATTGCATCACTCTTGCTTAAAAAAATGCAAATCATCATCATTTCATCATTTATATATAACTATGTGTCTATTTAAATAATCATCTCCCTAAACACTTCTAAAAGAGTAAAATAAAAAATAAATAAAATTATAAGCTAAAATTAGTTTATGCATAAGTTATTTTTAGTGAAGTCTTTACTTCTTAACTTTTATAAAATTTTATTTTTAACTTATGCATAAATCAAATAGAAAAATTTATTTTAATTTTTCTTCTTATTTATCTCTCTTCTAAAAAATTTTATCGAAACATGCACATATTTTTACTGCATAAAGGATATGGTTCTTTTAACACTTGACAATAGAAACTAAAAGAATACAATTATTTAAGAGTGGTTGATTATTGAAAAAATATTAACGACAAGCAGATTATTTATGTAAGCTGTAACACTTGAAATAATACACAATGAGTACAATAGTTATATCTCAAAAAGCAAAATTGTTACTCATCCACCTACCTATTGTGCAAGGGGTCAGGAGAGGAAGGCACTACTCTATTAACTGCAGCATAAGACCCTCCATTTGTTTCATTTGTAAAGCTTTCCCTCCATGTTGAAGAAGACTTCTTGAGAACATGTTCCACTTCTTCTTTTACCAACCTAGCACCCAACACATGATGATTCAAAACTGAAATACTTAGTAGTATCAACAAGAAACACCCCATTTGAGACCTTGGAATTGACATCACTTCACTACAATTGTCAACCATCATGACCTAACAAACCCCTTATGGCTTCTATATTAAGGAAATTAAAACGAAAGATATTATTCAAGAATAGGTGTGTGGAAAGGGAAGAGAAGGGAGTGTCCTCAATACTAGTGAGAAGGGGAAGGGTTTATGAAACAAAAGTGTAATAGACACATGAAGGTTATGAGTTATGACTTGTGCCTTATTTAGTATGGTGAAGTTTGAAATGGAGGGTAGGTGTTTCCCCACCTTCGTGTGTAAAGCATAGCATTATTATTCATAGTAAAGAAAGGGACCAGGGACTGTAGAGAACAAATGGTCAAGCTCGTGCTTCAGTTGATGAGTAATATAAGTTCCAATATCGATCAAGTCAGAGTTAATAATGTTTGACCATCTTTTCATGTACATATTCAGTGTCCATGTAATTAAACCAGACCCGACATATAATATAAGGACGTTTCAGAAATCAGAACTTCCTGAGTTTGTGCATTGATGGTGAAATATGTACACTAACACTATGTCTATTGCATACCAACCAACCATTCCTTTATCAATTATTAAACATTTATGGCCAAGGATAATCGTTTAAGCAAATTAAAACCATTTGTAGATAAACTTCTTTTGTAAGTATTTCTATAAAAAAAATTATATATAAACTAATTTATAAAAGTTTTTTATATTAATTTTTCAAGAACTTATTTTTAATTTATGCATAAATGAATTATAGTATAGGTTTTTTTTTTCTCCAAAAGTGTTTATAGAGAAATTTATCAAAATATATCCTTAAAAAAATATTCATACTTCCGAATCATCTTGACTTAGTCAATCATAGAACCCTAAATTCAGGATGAGGACTTGACTCTTCGTTTAGTTTATTTTGTTATTTTTAACCTTTAAAGTCCAAAATGCGCTCAATGTCTTCATGCAAAATGCTTTTTTCTAAGACTAGTACATATGACTTTTTGCGACTTTTTCCTATGCATTTTTATTTTTTCACAGTACAAATGTCTCACAAAACTGAATTATCTGCTTGTTGAGGGAGCAAGGGATTCCAGTAAACTGTAAAAGGCATCTTTTAGCTCATGTTTTGTTTGGCTTAATGTTTCTAGAGTAATGTATTTTAATAGGTTTTGTTTCTTTCTTTGGACTAGTTTGTGGCAGCTTTTACATTCTGTTTATATAACTTTTGTGATTCGTCTTGTTTCAACCTTAACACTTGTTGTGTCAGATATTTGTCACTTTTTTAAGTTGATCAAGTGTGACTAGTAAGTCATGAACACGAGCTTCATTCAAATTAATTTATCACTTCAAAACCTGTGTCTCTTCCTTTTAGTCGGCATAATTCGCAATATCAAAGCATTGTTTATCGTCTCTAACTTTAGTTGGCACCGCCCGAAAATAAAATCAGGTCACATAGATAATTGCCAAAGTTTGGTGTAAACACTAAGTATGATGAAAGACTTCTGCAAGATTGTGTTGACTTTTTGCTATTGATTGCTATTGGGGTAAAACCTAACGGTCGCCTTAGTGCTATTGGGGTCAAATTCTGGAGGGAAAGTTATCGTGTTAATTTGATAAGCTAATGACAAATGTGATTATTGCCTCTGAAAATTATTGAAGTGAACAAGTAAAGTCATCGAGCACTTCCGTTGGCTATTTTCAGTCTAATATCTGATTCTCTGTATTTTGACTATTTTACGAGCGAAATCATGTGCCTAGCAGTGCCAAATTTGACAATGAACAAGCATAATTATATAGCCTAAATTTAATATACTTTCGTTAAATTTTTTACACCATTACTAATGCGTTGGTAGATTCCGTCTAATCTCTGTAGTTTGACTTTTTTTCAGGGCATGTCATATCCAAGCTGTGCTTAAGTTGAAAATTTGTTAATAATAATTACATGGTTCAAATTTAATCCACTTTCATATTAACTTTCTTACACTAACGTAATGTGTCGGTGGGATTCATATATTTGGTAAAAATATAAAAATTTGACCTGATTCGAGAAAACCTACACTGAAAAAAAAGTCACATAAGGGTCTTCAAATAGGATCAGAAAAATATTTTTCAATGTTTAAATAATTACATCTGTTAAAATTCTACAAAGAGCGTGAATCCTTCACAAAAAGGAAAAAATTATTGACTAAATTTTTTAATGCTCTGTAGAGATATAAACATTTTTAGCCACAATGTGAAGAGAGTTTATTTGGACAACATTTTGCAAGCCAAACAAGGCTTTAAATGAAATTTCAACGTTAGCAATGAACCATAGATAGTCCGAACTTCGACTAGTAAAACCACAATCATAGAAGCTTTAATTTACAAGCGTAACAAAAACACGTGTTATAACTTGCATTAACAACGACAAAGACAAGTGTTTGCAATTATGATAATCACAAGTTATTCACCTCTATATTGCCACAAAAGAATGAATACACCACGGTTTAATCTTTGAGTTTATATTTCAACTACAAATTGAATCCATGAAAACCTAAAATGCCAAAAAGCTATACCTTCATTTTATATATTTCATCCATGCTGTCAAGTTTTCTCTTAAACAGATACTGTGAAGAGGTAAACCTTTAGTACAACAGCTAGAGCCAGCTGCAACAGAAAAATGCCAGCAACAATCAAGAACCACCTTTCACCTGCTGACTTGATATGTGCCCGCAGGTTCAGTGCCACAAATGTTGCTGACATGAACCCTGCCACACCTGCAATCACCCATCTAAATATCTCCAGTGGCACAATGGACATACACTGCACCAAACGAAGGGTTGGATTTTTGAGGATACAACACAAAGCGAATGTCCAATTTCACACTTCTTTAAAATAAAAGGTAGAAAAATGAACAGCTATAACTTACCAGAGCCGGAATAAAGACAAACAGGGAATACCCATATAGACAGAATAGTTGCACAAGGCCCGCCGGTGCGGAGAAGTATTTAAGGATTACATAAAGGCAAAGAGGAACGATGGTAACATAGCCGTAAAACAAACCAGCAGACCAAGTCACCAGATTTATGTCATAATCCCATTCCTTGCTCTTCAGCTTGTGTGCTATGTAAGTCACAAAGGTGCCAATAGATGCCGCTACAAAGATTAAGGTAGTGCAAATCCAGAATGGACCATACCTGCATATATTTATATGAACTCAAAAAATCATGCACAAAATTCATTCCTTTTTGTGGCAAAATTATTGAAGTATCTGTTCTCCAAGAATAAAAATTGGTGAATATAGTCTTCTCCAGACACCAGTATTTAAGTAGAGAAGATATTTCCATAAACTTGCATAAGAAATGAAATAAAACAGATTAACAAACAGATAATTAAATTGAACATAATCTAGTAAAAATAAATAACACTGATCACAGAATTATGTATAAGCAAATGGTTTATTTTATTGTAATTATCATAGTGATTAATTGGGCTGTTTTACAACATATATTGTCTGTTATCAATATTACTTCAAGAATTTCCCTTTGTTAAATGTATCTATCAAGTGGATTCTAACTTCTAAGTTATCTACTGGAACAAAAAAAATGAAATTTCCTTATTCCTTTCATTCATCTATCCTGCATTAATTGGTATTAGATCCCTGTTTGTCCACCGCTGATGTGGATGGACCACTCTTTC